GCCGCATGTGACTCGCAAGCCGCAGTTTGCCAAGCCACAGCTTGCCGACCACTGACCTAGACTATCCTAGTCCCATTTCCGTACCTACACTGATGTCTCTATCTATACATGAGGCTCCCAGTAACTTCGTACTGACTGTTCCCTCTGCTTGGAATATCTTTCCCCCAAAGACCTGCGCGCAGAGCCGAGGCACCATAGTGGTCCCTGACTTGGGCTCTGTGCTCGCTACCCGGCTCCCTGTGACTCCCTCTCAGGTCCTATGTCGGTGGTACACACTATGCATGCTATGCACATGGGGCGGGAAGGAAGCCGACCCAGCCGGCATGGCTCAGTGGTTGAGTGTCAACCTATGAACCAGGAAGTCGAGGTTTGATTTCCAGTTGGGGCACATGCCCAGGTTGCAGGCTCAATCCTCAGTTGGGGGCGTGCAGGAGGCAGCCGATCAGTGTTTCTCACTCATCACTGATGTTTCTATTTCTCTCCCCGTCTCCCTTCTTCCCTAAAATAAATTTTTTAAAAAGTTTAAAGTAAAAACAAAAACAAAACAAACTTGTTGGATTATAAAAAATAAAAATCTTAGCGAGCAAAGAATAAAAAGTCCATTTCCTTAACCTGATAAGATACCTACCAGAAATCTCAGCGAACATCTTAGTGAATGGTTCCCTTAAGAGTCCGGAGTGAGATAGGAATGCCTATTATCACTGCTTCTATCAACACTGCAGGTCTAGAACAAAAGAAAGAAATGTGCTCCCCTCCCAGAGGCATAGAGGAGCAGGCATGCTCACTCACTGCTTGTGTAAGTCCCATCTTAAGGATGGCAATGTGGCAATGTATGTAAGTCTTAAAAGACGCACACTCTCTGACCCTGCAATCCCACGTCTATGAGCAAGCCCAAGAAAATGCTGGGGGATGTAGCATTAGGATGCTGTAGGTTGTCTCCACAGAGGACCTGTGTGACAACAGGTGCTGGTTCTGTGGATTCTGGCATGGACACAGGATGGAATACTAGTCACTGAAAATGCTGCTGCATAAGAGCCATTCCTGGAAGGGCCGCCTAAACTAGTGTGCTCACTATACCTTTAATAGATGCCGGTGTGTCCACACACACACACACACACACTGGAAAGACCCACACTAGAACAGGGATGATTCCTTGTGCTGTTTCCCTAATTCTCTTAGAGCAGGTGTCACTTTTCTAACAAGGAAGCACATATATTTACAACGCT